CCCTCCCCACCCTCCCTCTGAGATCCCTCAGTCTGTTCCATGCTTCTATGTCTCTGGATCTATTTTGTTCGTCAGTTTATTTTGTTCATTGTATTTCCCATATGAGTGGGATCGTGTGATACTTGTCTTTCTCTGACTGGCTTATTTCCCTTAGCGTATGCAACCTTTTAGAACTGGCTTTTTCACTCAGCATAATTCTCTGGAGAGTCATTCATGCAGGTTTTTATGTGTATCCATAGTTTGTTCCTTTTTATTGCTGAGTAGTATTTCACAGTATGGATGTATCATAGTTTTTAAAAACATTTCACCTGTTGAAGGACATCTGAGTTGTTTCGAGTTTTGTCATTACAAATATAGCTGTACAGGTTTTAGACCATAAATTTTCATTTCTCTGGGATAAATACTCAGGAATTTGGTTGCTGAATTGTGTTGTAGTTGCATGTTAGTTTTTTTAAGAAACTGCCAAGCTTGTCCAGAGTAGATAAAGGAATCCTTAGATGTAAAAGTTTGACAGCCACTGCTTTATGCAAAGGCAGCTATCAAAGCTGATATGAACATAATGTGATACAATTTTCTTGTGCTGATTTCATCAAATATTTTTTTCTCAGACTTTTGAAGATTAAAGGGAGTGATATGTTATTCTTTGTAATCATAGGCAGGGTCCAATATGTTGACTGCTTTGCAGTGCCACAAATAAATGTGCTTCGTTTTCTCTTGTATATTTATACAGGGTGGCTTATATATTTATACAGGGTGGGACAAAAGTAGGTTTACAGTCATTTGTATGGAAAATGAACCTGAGAACAATTTTTTTTAGTGCATAATATGTGCCAAGAACTGGGAATAGAATAGATAAGATAGACACTGTTATCTTTACCCTAAAAGAGATGAAAAGATAGTAAGGAAGCATGCAAATGTTGTAGTTGCTGAAATGCAGGTATGTGTAAAGACCAGCAGGAGACTAAGATAAGAGAGGTGGACCCAAGAGTAGGAAGGAGGCAGATAGTGTTAGACAGAAGAGGTAGAAATTGTACTAAGACTTAAGGAGTGAGTAGGAATTTATCAGGAAGAGCACAAGAGGAGAGGGTATTCTTAGACTCTTGGCATTGAGAAATCAAAGGATGTTTCCCATCTAACCATACTTTGGTAGCAATAATTTGCTAATCTTTTTCCCTGAGCCAGATCTCCTAAGTTAGGGCCAGTGAGGACTCTTTCAATCTGAATCAAACATGACATCAAGAGAAATAATCGAATAATATATAGTTTTGGAGTGGGCAAATTAATTGTGAAAACCATAATTCTTTCTGAGAGCCTTTATGATGTACTCAGGTATTCTTACACCATACTCCAGGAAGAGCAAGCATGTTAATCATAACTGGAGTTAGGTAGTAAATCATGTCTTATAACTCCCTTTCCATTGCACTGGCTTTATTTCAAGATATTATTTAAAATGTATTGTAATGTTCCCAGCCAATTTATTAGTTTCCATGTCTTTACTATTCCTGGGATATTAGCTAAACAGATAATGTAGTTTGTAAAGATACATATTGTGCTACATTTTATATTTTGGAAACTGTTTAAGACTATTATTTACTTGTATTTTAATATTTCTAATTGTGTGCATAGAATATCTGAAATCAAAATTAAATAAACATGGGCATATCCTTCTATTTACACAGATGTATTTCTGGTCACTTAAACTTACCAAGAGTGAGCAAGCATATTGTCACCCACTTGGTCATTCAACATTTATTGAACTTCTCCCCTGTGGCATGCCCAGCTCTTAAAGAGGGACTCAAGCGGAGGACTACACAGTGTGAGAAGTAGTGTAAGGTGTTATGACTTGCACACAAAGTGGAAATAAAGTCATCTGCCTGGATGGGGAATAGGATGTGGGACTGGGGATTGGAAAACCAGGGACAGGCTACTTTTGTCCTTAACAAAACTCACACTCCAAGGCTTTCATGGAATACCTTACCTCATTCCTATAATTACATAATTTACTATTCTGCTATTTTGAAGCAAGAAAGGACTGGATTTATCTTCCTTTTCTCTTACCAAGTAATTATAAGTTGTATTGCTTGGGGCAAATCAAAATCTGTCTAAACTTTTGTTTCTTTATAGTAACAGTAATAATAGCTAACACTTATATAGCACCTATTATATGTCAGGCACGGTACGCACACACACACATTTATTATTACTCCTATTTCACAGATGAGAAGGAAACAAATTAAGTAAGGTCACAAAGCTAGTAAGTGACAGAGGGAGGATTTGAATCCTTGCAGACTGGCTGAGCCACTAGGATATGCTCTTAACTATTTATGCTATATGGTCTTGCAAGTCCTCAGTCCATATTTATATGCACATGTTAGTGATCTACCCATGATAATTTTTCATTTAATGTTTGTTTTGGAGTAACAGGCATTTCAGGGCTGGAGATCATGCAGTTGTCATTCGGTATTTTAAATGGGAACATGTTCTTTTTCCTCTTGGAAAGATTTTGTGATAAAATGAAAATAATCAAAGAACTAAGTTATTTAGAGATTTAGAAAACAGCTAAAACATAATAGTCTTAAGAGAAATACTTTCTTAGTTATTATGTGGAGGCTAGAATCGCAGTATATTTTCTTGAGGAAAAGAAAAATTAGAATAACCACTGTCACAAACAAAGAAGAGCAAAGGATATATGACTTTTCTTGCTAATTGAGTAGAAAGCAAGTGTCTGTAAACTTCTGTGTTAAATACCTGGGTTGAAGCAGCAGTCTGCCTGAGATAATGATATTTCTGTCCTTAATCTCACATACCTTGCACTGATGTTTGAAAAGTTAACAATACTCAGACAGTAAAGAAGAATCCCCATGAGTTACAAAATACAAGGAGTGTCTGCTCTCTTAATGTTGGCACTGGTAGGAGTCTAGATCACAGGCTGCTCTTATTGTCATTATATTAAGTAGTTTTTTAAAACACACAATTTATCTGACGTCAGCAATCCCATCTGAATCCTGTCCCATCCCATCATAATTCACGGTAGTTCTTGCTAAATCTGTTAAAATATTAATGTTGTTTTTCTAGTAAATATGCCAAGTAAATAAAATAGAAAATACATGTGATTGGAGGAGAATTTTAATATTGAAACAAGTGCTAGTGGCATGACCATGGTGTCCTATTTTTCTGTCCTTGGTTCAGGGACACTGAATCAGAATTACTCTGCCCCAAGTACATTTTCTTTGCCTTGGAGGTCGTAGGTCGTGATCTGCTCCATGTTCCCTGGATATACTTGCACTCTCATTCACCTGTGACTTAGCATTGAGGTGCCTTTGTCCATTTTTCTCTCGGGTTAATCCTTCCTGTCACAACTCAGCAGTCCATATTTTTTCCCCTTTTGAAAGTATTTCCGGCCACAAAGCCAAACTGAGTTAGGTGCCAGTTCTCCTCCCCTTTCTCTGTATCCCCATAGCATCCTGTACATAACTTTCTCAGAGTACTTATTACATTGCATTTTAATAATGGGTTTGCTTAACTATCCTGTCCCTACTTCCCTACCCTTGTTCAGTGTTTGGCACATACTAGACACTGTAAATATTTACAGAAGAGTGAACAGAGACAGCTGCTGCCTTTAGAGTTTACTTTTTAACCCCCAGTGCTGCAGCAGCAGGAATCTGGAAACCCATATCTGAGGGGAGCATTCCTCGCTAGGCCTGCACTAAACTAGGGTAGGCTGTTTTAAGAGTCTTGTGTTGGAAAGGATACGTGTGTGTGCGCGCACACACTCTGCTGCTGCTCTGAGCAAGCCGAACAAATGGAAGCGTGGAATAATATGAGATGGAATTGAGATTTATAACATGTCTTGTCTGTTTAATTGAATTACAGCAGGTTTTTTTCTTTTAAAGCAGTTAAATAGTGTCATATTTTATGAAGTTTGCATAGACGTTTATATATGCTATGCAGATTTATTTTTGTATAATTTGTGTTACATATAGAGAGAATATTCAAATCGTACATATTTTGAAATTCATTTCTCCCCAAACATAGTGTAGAGCAAAGATCATTTTTTAAACATATACTGAATTATCCTGGAAACTACATTTTCAAAGATGCAATCTTTGGTTTACTCTTATAAATGCATAAAATCAGTCAGAAGCAAAGAACCATGACCGGGATTGCCAGTGCAAGTGTATTATATAGTATACCTCAAATTACATTATCAGCATACTGTGTATATTAATTGGCTTTAAAGCAATCATTGAACAGTAAAGTATTTGAAGATTTCAGTTAGTAAAACAAATTGATTGTTTCTTATGTCACATCATATATTATATGACATCTTTGCTTTTTTTTTAATCCTCACCTGAGGATATTTTTTCCGTTGCTTTTCAGAGAGAGAGAAACATTGATGTGAGAGAGACGCATCGATTGGTTGCCTCCCGCACATGCCCCGACCAGGGCCGGATCGAGCCTGCAGCTGAGGTACGTGCCCTTGGTCAGAATCGAACCTGGGACCCTGTAGTCCGTGGGCCAACGCTCTGACCACTGAGCCAAACCAACTAGGGCTGGCATCTTTGCTTTTAATCATAATTTCTTTTCCACTGAGAACTTGGCAGTGTAACTTATTCTTAGCCAACTAGCAAATTAATTTCATTTTTATGTTTTATGACTAATTTGTTACCTGTTCTAAATTTTGTGATTTCTTTTTTAATTTTTAAATTCTTTTACTATTTTTGAAATTTTATTTTATAATATTTTTTAATTACAGTTGACATTCTACTTTGCCATCTTTTCTATAAGTCCAACATGACCTAAATAGTTTACTAAAAAAGAAGTTAACTGGTAATATTATATTAATACTTTTAGCTTCTCTTGATGGATATTAATTTTTTTTTTTGGTTTGGTTTGTTTATCTAGAAACCCTTGGTTTTAGTCAAATACATCACGTCTATTAAAGGAAACCATACCTGAAGTGGAAGTGGAAATCTAATGTATGAAGATATAAAAACTGCTTTAGTTGATTCAAAATGGGAACGACAAGTGATGAGATGGTATCTGTGGAACACACCTCCTCCTCCTCCTTCAATCCTCTGTGTTTTGAATGTGGTCAGCAGCACTGGACAAGAGAAAATCACTTGTATAATTACCAGAATGAAGTGGATGACGACCTGGTCTGCCATATTTGCCTTCAGCCCCTATTGCAGCCACTAGATACCCCCTGTGGACACACATTCTGCTGCAAGTGCCTCAGAAATTTCTTACAAGAGAAAGATTTCTGTCCATTGGACCGCAAAAGACTTCACTTTAAGTTGTGTAAGAAGTCTAGTATTCTAGTTCATAAACTTCTGGACAAATTATTAGTATCCTGTCCATTTTCTTCAGTGTGCCAAGATGTAATGCAGCGCTGTGATCTGGAGGCACATCTTAAAAACAGGTAAGTAAAAAATATGAAAGAAAGAGAGCTGACTCTTAAGTTTTATAGAAAGGTTGTTGAAACAAAAACTTGACTGAAAAATACCAAGGCATCAATAAGTAAATGGACAAATAGAATACAAGAGATACAATAAATAAACAAGTTGTGTGGAACAGTATGTAACATTAGTACTTATCAAAAACATGAATATAAAAACTACAGTGAGGAGGTGCCATTTTATACCTATTAATATTTTTGCTGGTGAAATATGAGACTCTTAAAAAGCTTACAATTTAACAGTATAGTAAAAAAGTGTGTACAGCCCGGGCGGGCGTGGCTCAGCGGTTGAGCGTCTACCTGGGATCCAGGCAATCGAGGTTCGATTCCCGGTCAGGGCACATGCCCAGGTTGCGGGCTCGATCAATGACTCTCTCATCATTGATGTTTCTATCTCTCCCTGTCCCTCTCCTTTCCTCTCTCTAAAATCAATAAAGATATATTTAAAAAAAAAAAAAAGTGTGTACAATATAGAAAAAATCTTTAAAGAAGTCTTTTTCTATGCTGAGACCTTTCCTAGGCCATCGAATGGTGGTGTGTGTTTGTTTTTTGTTATCCTCACTCGAAGATATTTGTCCATTGATTTTTAGAGAGAGTAGAAGGGAGGAAGGGATGGGGGCGGCAGAGAGAAAGAAAGATACATGGATGTGAGAGAGACACATTGATTGGTTGCCTCCTGCACATGCTCTGACTGGGGCCAGGGATGAACCTGCAACCCAGGTACGTGTCCTTGACTGGGAATCGAACTCGAGACCCTTCAGAGCACAGACCAACACTCTATCCACTAAGCCATACCAGCCAGGGCTCATCGAATGGTTTTGAAGCCTTTACGGGTCAGGGTAGGCTGAGGCAAGATTGCTTTTTTAAATTCACGTTTTAGCTTGGAGGAAAGTTTGAGTCTGGCACATTTTTACCAGCATTATTTTCTCATATATAATGTAAAAAGAAGATATACGTATTTGCAAATCATGTATCTGATAAGAGTCTAGTATTCAGAATATATACAGAATTCTTAAATTAATAAAAAGCCAAGTCATTCAATTTTTAGGTGGTGGTTGTTTTTTTTGTTAATCCTTAGATGAGGATATTTTTTCAATTGATTTTTAGAGAGTATAAAGGTGGGGGAGGGGGGAGAGAGAGAGCAAAAAGCATCGATGTGAGAAAGACACATTGATTGGTTGCCTCCTGCATGTACCCTGACCTGGGCTGAGACTTGAATCTGCAACCCAGTTACATGCCCTTGACTGGGAATTGAACCCATGACCCTTAGGTGCTTGGGCCAACACTCTAACCACTGAGCAACACCAGCCAGGGCTCAAGTCATTCACTTTTAAGTGGGCAAAGGATTTGAATAGGTATTTCTCCAAAGATGATATTTGAATGTCCAAGAAGCACATGAACAGATGCGCAAAATTATTAGTCCATTTTTATAATGCATTGTTGTGTTTTTGTCAGTTGTAAGCATTCTATGTATATTCTTGTTATAGACCCTTATTACATACATGATTTGCAAATATTTTCTCTCATTCTGTCTATTGTCTTTTCACTCTCCTATGCCCTTTTAAGGACAAACAAGTTTAATTTTTATGAAGTTCAACGTATTTTTTTCTTTGTTTGCTTTTGTTTTTGGTGGCACATCTAAGAAACCATTGCCTACTCCAAAGTCACGAAGATTTACACCTGTGTTTTTTTCTATGACTTTTATAGTTTTAGCTCTTACATTTTGGTCTTTGATACATTTTGAATTAATTGTGACTGGAGAACATGCTATGTATGACTCAGTTCTTTCCATTTTATTATGGCCTAGCACATGGTCTGCCCTGGAAAATGATTCATGTATGCTACAGAAGAATGTGGATTCCACTCTTGATGGGTGGAGTATTCTATAGATGTCTATTACATCTATTGATTTATAATGTTATTAAAGTCTATTCTTGTTTTTATACCTACTTGTTGTATCCATTATTAAAAGTAGGGTATTGAAGTCTTAGACTACTGTTGTTGAATTGTTTATTTTTCCCTTTAATTCTGTAATTTTGCTTCATCTACTTTGAGGGTATGTTGTGGTTATGTTTTTAGTTGTCATAACTTCTTGATAAATTGAACCTTTCATCATTGTAAAATGTTCTTGTCGCTAGAAATAATTTTTGTCTTAAAGTCTATTGTGTCTGAAATTAGTGTGCCCACCTACTCTTTTTAACAAAAAGAAAAAAGATTAGTTGCATGGTGTATCTTTGTTTTTCCTTTTAATTTTCACCTATTTGTGTCTTTGAGTCTGAAATGTGTCTCTCGTAGACAGCATATTGTTGGTCATGTTTTCTTTTTAATCTGTTCTGCCAATCACTGACTTTTGATGGGAGTGTTTGTTTATATTTGATGTAATTACTGATAAGGTAAGATTTATGTCTGCCACTTTGCTCTTTGTTTCTATATCTCATTTCTATGTTTCTCTATTCTTCCATTTTTCCCCTCTTTTGTGTTAAATAGATATTTTCTAGTATGCCATTTCAATTCCTTTGTCATTTCTGTTCATATATATACATTTTTTAAAATTGATTCCAGAGAGAAGGAGAGAGAGAGAAAGAGAAACAACAATGTGCAAGGGAAACATCAGTTGGTTGCCTCCCACACCTGCCCTCACTGGGAGTTAAACCCGCCACCTTTTGGTGTACGGGACAATGCTCCAACTGAGCCATAGCAGCCAGGGCCATATATATTTTTTTGAATTGTTTTCTTAGTGGTTGTGCTGGGGATTACAATTAACTTCGTAATTTATGACAATCTAATTCAGATTAATACCAATTTAATTTTACTGGTATACAAAAGCTCATATATAGCTCCTCCCCCCCCTCATATATATTCCTTCCCCCCCTCTTTTGTGCTGTTACACAAATTACATTTGTATGCATTACATACCTATCAAAACAGAATTATAATTATTACGTTGTGTGGTTGTCTTTTAAACCAAATAGGACAAAAAAAGGGAGCTATAAACAAACAAACAAAAAAAACACTTTTATGCTGTTTTTTATATTTATGTAGTGACCTTTATCAGTGCTCTTTATTTCTTCATATGGATTGAGCTACTGTCTAAAGCCTTTTCGTATCAGCCTGAAAGACTTTAGTATTTCTTGTACAGCAGATCTGATAGCAACAATCTCTTTGTTTTTTGTTTATCTGGGAATGTCTTCAGTTCTGTTTTTTGAAAGATAGTTTTGCTGGATATAGACTTTATGGTTGAGAGTCTTGTGGGTTCTCCCCACCACCCCCCCCAGCAGTTTGAAGATGTCATCCATGGCCTTCTGCTTCTGTGGTTTCTGAAGAGAAATCAGCTGTCAATCTTATTAAGGATCACTTCTATGTAATGAAATACTTCTCTCGTGCTTTCAGAATTCTCGTATTTGGGAAGATTTGTGTCATTTTGTGTTCAAATATTCTTTCTGCCCCTTTCTCTCTGACTCCTTGTGGGACTCCCATTATACATATGTAATATTTTTTATAGTGTCCCACAGGTTCTTGAAGCTCTATCCATTTTTTTTTATTCTTTTCTTTCTGTTCCTCAGACTGATAATCTCAATTGACCTAACTTCAAGTTCACCAATTCTTTCTTCTGCCTGTTCAAATCTACTGTGAGTTCTTCATTTTATTTATTGTGTTTTTTGAATACAGAATTTCTATTTGGTTTTTTATTGTAACTTATATTTCTTTATTGATATTTTTATTTGGTAAAACGTTTTCATGTTTTCCTTTAGTTGTTTTAGACAGGGTTTCTTTGTTCTTTGAACACTTTTATAATATTTGATTTAAGTCATTGTCTGGTGGTAAGGCCAATGTCTGGGCTTCCTTGGGGACAGTTTCTCTTGACTGCCAATTTTCTGTGTATGGGCCATACTTAATTGTTTCTTTGCATGGTTTTTAACTTTTTATTGACCACTGGACATTTTAAATAATGTAGTGTAGAAACTCTGGAAATCAGATTCTTCTTCCTTTTCAGGATTTGTTTTTGCTATTTGTTTGTTTGTTTGTTCAATGAATTTCTAAACATTCTGCAAAATCTTTGCTCAGCTTACTGGTCAGCTAATGGTTGGACAGAGAATTCCTTAAATGCCTGTAACCAATAAATTTCATAGTCTTCCTGAGGGACTCTGTGTTTATGGTGGAGCACACCTTCAACACTCAGGCAATAGACATTTCCTCCTTAGCCTTCATATCCAGTTTTCACAGAATGTCATTATTAGCCAGAAGTGAGAGCTTAGTGTCTTCTCAGTTTCCTATGCATGCACACAGCCTGGACATATCAGAACCCCTATGGACATTTCTTTCCCTAGCTTTTATATATATATATATATACTTTTTGATTAGCTTTTTGTTTGCCCACCTCAGGCAGCCACAACCTTAAACAACTGCTTCTGATTTTACTTTTCCTACCAAATGCTCCTAGTGTAAAGGTTGNTAAACTTTTTTATTAGCTTTTTGTTTGCCCACCTCAGGCAGCCACAACCTTAAACAACTGCTTCTGATTTTACTTTTCCTACCAAATGCTCCTAGTGTAAAGGTTGATTGTATTGAGTGAGCTCCAAGTCAGGCTAAAGACATCCTTGCAAGTGGGGTCTTCCAGGGAACCAACAGGTCAATTAATGACAATTTTCTAGAAATGGGGCTTTGAAAGTATGCCCGTCTACCCTTCCAAGAGCTGCCAAACTCTTTTTTCAATTGTGATTGTGGGCGATTGCCTTTCCAGGTTTCTGTGGAGCTGGGGAGATGGGGATGGGAACAGGGGAAGTTTAAATGCCATAGAGCTCACTGTTTTTACTGAGATTCAGCCATTTTTCTTGAATAAATGCAATCTGGATTGCTACAGAACTTTGGCTAATTTCAAGAGCTCAGATGTAGTTGGGTCTGACAATTTTTGCCAGTGTTCGCATTGCTTTTTGAAGGAGAGGCTTTTCAGATACCCTTAATCTACCATTTCCACTGGTCACTTGAATTGATTTTTGCATATTTTAATCTATAACTTTTAATCATTTTGCTTGTTTCTAAGATGCTCATATTCTTTTAGTTTCATTAAGTACTTGTCATGTCATTGTGCTGACATTTACTATGCATCATGTTTTATTTTACTTCTAACCATGCATCATTTTATTTTACTTCTGCTGCCCCACCACTGACACTAATACTAATCTGCTGCTAATAGGAGAGTGTATTCTGTTACACTCACTGTATGCTTCCTAATGTGAATCATTGTTATATCAGGGATGATGCCACTATATCATAAGTTTTATGTAATTTTTTCTCCATAAGGAGAGCCAGACTAATGGGAATGGAAGTATAACCTTCAGCAGGAAAGGGAAAGTCCCTCAGTTTGGCTCTGCTTGCTGCAAGAGCCTTTTGGTTTTATTTAAGAAAATTAAAAAACATGGCTGCAATAGAGCTCCCTCCCTAGGAAGGTACAGCCTAGCCTGTGGCAGTTCACACTGCCTCCGTTGCCCTTTTTAAGTGCAACCCATTATCTCAGAGCTCCACTTCCATCTGCATTGTATGAGCACATGTCTACCTTGATCTAATTAAATGTAGCATGCATTTCTTTTCTATTGTTTTTATTCATTTGTAATATCCTCTACACCAGCCTCCTGCTACACTGTTACCTACTTGAATAATCCGAGTTATGTCCCCCAATGCCAATTGCTGTTTCTGCTATTATTGTTAAGTACTGCATTTAAGAAGATGCATGGGTTTTGTTGTTATTTGTGATTTTGGTTTGTTTTTTAATGATCATTAAGGCCCTTTCTTATTCTTACATTCTGTAATTGTGTTTCTGGGTACAAGTTTCTGGAACAAATTCAATTTATTTTTCCCTAAGGCCTAGAAAAAGAACTCCATAAGAATGAATTTAGTATGACACAGTGGAAAGAGGAAACGTCTTTGAAATCAGATTTGAGTGTGTTTGGACTTTGGCTCTGCAAATTAACAACTATGTGATGTTGCCTTAGTTGAGTTTCAAGTTTCCCATTTGTAAAATGGGGATAATAGAGTGAGTGTGAGAATTTAATAAAATATTGTATATAACGGTTTTTACACATTGACTGGCACAAATTAGACATGCAACAAGTGTTGGGGTTTTCCCTTTTTCTTTCAGGTTCAGGTGTTTGCAAACTTTAGGAATAAGGACTCTGAGCCGGCTGTCTGGTCATGAGCTTTTCTCTGCCTACACCTGCTCATCCCTATAGTCTTTAAAAAAAAGGCTTTATTGAGATATAGTTCACCTACCATAAAATTCACATATTGGTTTTTAGTATTTTCACAGAAGTATTCAGCCATCATCACAACCTAATTTCAGAACATTTTCAACGCCCCCAAAAGAAACCTCATCCCCATTAGCAGCCATTCCCATTCCCAAGCACATGAGTTTTGAATGATCTTTCCCAGTCCTCTTACTCACTTAAGCCCTGTAATTCTTAGTGTGCAGTTTTTGTAGATGCTTGTATTGCAGTAGCAGAAATGCTGTATTATAGTTTGGGTTTTTGCCCTCATCACCAAAAGTGTTCCTTCTATGGTCACTATGACTTTTTCATTGCTTAATCAAATGAATGCTTTTTGGTCTTTATCTTCTTTGTCCTTTGAGTGATATTTGCGTTATTGACCACTTTTTCTTTGGTGACACTCTTGTCTCCCTTGATAACTTTGAAGTTTTTCTCTCATTGTCTCCTCATGTCTAGTTGTTCTACCACAGTCTACTCATCTGGTCCATCTTGTTTAAATATGGGTATTCCCAATGGTTCTCTCTGTAACCTTCCTCCAGTGCTGACTAAGATCATTCTTTCATATTTTCACATGATATTTTAAAGTATCATTTTTTAGTTCCTATTAGCAATTTGCTATCCCATTGGGAATTTAAGTATACTTGTTTCTTTACCTCTCTGACAACTTTATGTTTTCTTTTTAAAATTTATTTTTGCCATGTTTAACAACTATAAGATAGACTTTGTAATTATTTAGTTTGTAGGATGTTTTTGTTTTTAGCTAGGCTAATTCCCAGTGTTCACATTCTGTTTGTATTTCCCTCTCCTAGTCCATGTTTTCCATTAAAGACTAGCTATTTCCCATGTATATATTTGTGTATGATACACATTTTGAGAATTAAATCTTTACCTATTTAGTCACAAATATTTTTTATAATCCAGTTTTTGTCTCAGATTTTTTAGTGAATAAAATATTTTAAAAATGCATTTCTAATTAAATCTACTTACAAAAATAATTTTTTCAGTGATATAATTTTCAAAATTGTGTGTCAGGTCCTTGTAGGAATATTCCCTGGAGTGCTGCACAGTGATGCAGTAAGGAAAATCTGTTGTCTCTTTCTTAACAAGGGGAGGAGAAAATAAGCAGTGAGAGAAAGCTGACTAAAGAAACTTCCTAATGATCCTCTTCAAGAACTTGAAATCTAGGACTTAAATCTTCAATTTATGAAGGAAAATTTATTGCTATTATACTTAAGGGATAGCTTTCCATTTTAATTGAATTTAATCCTATATTTAATTTTTATTGAAATGTTACATTTTTTAAAAATATTGTCATTGAATGAAGATCTATGAACCTAGACATAAAACTGTTGCCTTTCTGTACTTCTTACCCCAACATGGAAGTACGTGGTGTCTGAGTTGTGTTGGGCTCTAGGAATGTGTGCCTAGCTCTCCTTCACTAATCCCCTTTCACACTGGGCATTAGTCATGTTGTCCAGTCAAGGGGTCATATGGAAAAAACATTTCTAATATGTGTGTGAAACATTATTGAAATGTTTAAACAAGCACCTATATGCCCTTTTGTCTGCTTAAATAAATGAAAATAAGCAAGTTAGTAGTTCCTATTTCTTGGTGCTTACGTAAGTTTCCCAAGTACTTGGAATATGTGTGTGTGTGTACATATACGTATATATTAAATATTTTTATTATAGATTATATATTTCATGTATATAAGTAATATATATATATATTAAATGTTTTGGTTTTTTTATTTTAGAGAGAGAGGAAGGGAGAGAGAGATAGAAACATCGACTGCCTTCTGCACACCCCGTACTGGGGATCTCGCCCACAACCCAGGCATGTGCCCTGACTGGGAATTGAACTGGTGACCTCCTGGTGCATGGGTGATGCTCAACCAACTGAGCCTCACTGGAATATATTTTAAACTTACATAGAATGTCTGTAATTCCACTATTGCAGTTCTAATTTTACAAACTAGGAGATATGTTTTCTTTATTTCCTTCCATGTCTATTATAAAGTTATTTGGGCCTTTGCTATGCTTTCCTACAAGTAGTAAAGCTTCAAATATATTGATATTCATTAATGAGTGAATGTGTAACATTGGCCGTGAGAATGTAGAGGCGTATTGGCACTGAAGGTCTAAGACCTTAAGGGCTTGATGAGGAAGAAGAATGCTGATTTCCACTTCTGTGGCTAAGCCGTTTAACCTGTAGAAAAGGGTTGTACTCAGGATTTCAGAATAATTCCTGCAATATAGAGACAAGTTTCTGGTACTAGTGTATACCTGAATACATTTTTTATTGACGTATTCTTTGAGATATATACCAAACCATTATTTATGCCGATGCCTTGTTTTAAATTTGCTGCATGGAGTGGTAAGAACTTAATTCGAGTGAAATTATGTACTGTTGTGGGTACCTCTAGGTGCTTTGTGCATAGAAGCCACTGCCATTCTTTTGTTGTGGTACAAGCCATTAATCACTTTTTCCCCCTTTCAAATAATCTGGAAATCACCTGATGTTCTTTCTAGATGCCCTGGAGCTTCTCATCGGAGAGTTGTCCTAGAGAGAAGGAAAACCAGTAAAACTCAGACAGAGATTGAGAATGAAAATGGAACCACTATACTAGATCCCCCAGGTGCCCCATCACCCGAAACGGACTGCTCAGCGACAGGCGCAGTGCCCGCTGAGCAGAACTTGGCCTCAGCCTCTCTTCCTGCCTGGACTGAGGAGCCTGGCCTGGACAACCCTGCCTTCGAGGAGAGCGCCACTGCCGATAGTATGTGCTAGTCACCTCTTCCTTTTTCTGTTTTTTTATGTTTTCAAATCAGACATTTGCTTCTTTCCTGCTACTCCTTCCGGTTTTCCCAACATGCATTTTTCTTCTTTATTTTATTTTTTTAAAATATATCTTTATTGATTTCAGAGAGAGGAAGGGAGAGGGAGAGAGAGAGAGTAACATCAATGATGAGAGAGTCATTGATCAGCTGCCTCCTGCACGCCCCCGACTGGGGATCGAGCCCGCAACCCAGGCATGTGCCTTGATCAGGAATCGGGCCATGATTTGGATCCTAGGTTGATGCTCAACTGCTGAGCCACACCTAGCCGGGCTGCATTTTTCCTCTTTAAAAAAATAATTTTATTGAGATATAATTCACATACCACAAAAATCACCCTTTTAAGTCTGTAAGTCAAACAGTTGGCATTTTAGAAACAGAACATGAGCCTTACCCCGGGGGAAGGTGCTCCTCCCACCCCTCTTCTGTTTTAGTTTGTGAATTCACTAGTCATTAACATGCTGCTGCTTGTTTGCTCCTGTGTTCAGAAGTTTGTTGCTTCTTGACTAAAAAATCAATAACATCAAGAATGACAAAAACAATACCTCAGATTAAGTACTTACTCTGTGTCAGGCTCTGTGCCAAGCACTTTACATAAATTAACTGATGAATAATGCTTGTAACAATTTTAGGAGATTTTTTTTTAATGGTGAAAAAACTGAGCCTTGAGAGATTAATCAGGCTCACACTGCCAAGAAATGGCTGGATGTTTATCTGTCTCTGAGGCCACACTTGTGACTACTGCAATCCTCTGCTCTCAGCCACTAATCTGACTGTATAACCCACCAGGAGTGAACAGAAAGCCTCTAGTCCTAGATCTTGGGAATACTTCGTAGTTGGCCCTAGGCATTTACTTTTAAATATGATTTTCTCTTACAGATTCCAAATTTTACTAAACATTTCAAATTTTCCCTGCCAGAGCTGTAACTTTTCCCATTTCCTAAGGCTCCAGACCCACCTCTTCTTAGAGCTGATATGATGACTCTCAACATCTGTGGTGATTACATACCACAGAGTTAATTAGTCTTTTCCTTAAACTGCCTTGCATGTTTACACTTGTTTAATAATTCAGACTTTCTCTTATCAGTTAGGACAAGATGACCTTTTAATATTTCTTTATCACATCATTGTGTCTTCCCTAGTGATCTGATATATAGTAGCTATTTGTTGGTTATATACTGATCGCCTTTGGAAGAGGAAATGTTTAGATAATCTTAACATATCGATATTTTTAATCATCTATTAACATAAGATGATTTATTTACCCGAAGAACATCAAAATATAAAATACTCATTTTCTTTCCATCTGTTTTCCTCTCTCATTTTTAACTCAGCAGCCACACAACAGCCACCTAGTTTACCAGAAGGCGAAATCACCACGATTGAAATTCACCGATCTAATCCTTATATTCAGTTAGGAATTAGCATTGTGGGTGGCAACGAAACACCACTGATTAACATCGTTATCCAGGAAGTCTATCGGGATGGGATAATTGCCAGGGACGGAAGACTCCTTGCTGGAGACCAGATTCTTCAGGTATCAGTTTTATTTCTGTTGATTTGCACTCCATTGTTCTTATTCATAAATTTAAAACTGGGAAAATTGTGGCAGTGTGGAACCTGAATTATATAAAGGTAAGTTTTGCTGTTTTTATATGTAAAACATTAGAATTTAGTAATTTCTCCTGTTTCCCCATATACATAGAGTGTATTTTTTTCTTCCTACCTTTATTTCAATCCCACACTTGTAACACATTTTACACCTGAGGAAACACAAACAAGTTCTATAATTGCCGAGGTTATCCAGCTAGTACACAGCAGAACCAAGGATGCTAATTCAAGACTGTCAAAACCCTGTGATCCTAACTACTATTCTCTACCTAGTGCTAATAATTGTAAGTTAACTTTAGGAACTCTGTACTTTAAAATGTCTTTAGAGTGGATTTCTTTGTAAATAATGATTGTATATCATTTTCACAATGTTAGTTTCCTTGGGAAATGTTATTTGGGGGGAAAAGATGTTCACACTTTGGTCAGAATTCTTTTTTTTTTTTTTAGGTCAACAACTATGATATTAGCAATGTGTCCCACAACTATGCCAGAGCTGTCCTTTCGCAGCCCTGCAGTACCCTGCAGCTCACTGTGCTTCGAGAGAGACGCTTTGGTAACCGAGCGCATAGTCTTTCTGATGGGAACTGTCTCCGAGAAGAGATTTTCCATGTGGTTCTTCATAAACGAGACTCTGGTGAACAGCTTGGCATCAAACTTGTACGAAGGACAGATGAGCCAGGAGTTTTCATTCTTGACCTGTTGGAAGGGGGGCTTGCTGCACAGGATGGGAGGCTCAGCAGCAATGATCGCGTGCTTGCCATCAATGGGCATGACCTCAAGCATGGGACTCCTGAGCTTGCCGCCCAGATCATTCAGGTACACTTGAGACATGCATTCCAGATGCTTGGCCTTTGTTACCATATTTGTTTTCATTGGCCAATAACATAAAAGTCTAGGGCACATTTCATATTTCATTGGAAAAATCAAGCATAGCTATTTAAATTCTTCAAAATCCACAGAGGTATAACTTCATTATAGATAGAATATTTTTCTAAGCACTGTGTTCCATGAACTTTAGGCTGGCTATTTATAGAGTGAAGTCTCTAAAGATTCACATGCATTTCTTGTTTGCTCCCTTGGCTCCATCTAGTACCAGACATAACAGATGGTGTTGTGCACATTTAACACATGAGAAAGGTAAGGCTCCAAGGAGCCGTGATTACCAAGGTTGTGACTTAACCTCATCTTTTAACTTTCCTTTTCCACTTCAGGATCCATAAAAATAGAGGGAAAGTTGTTTTTTATTAAGAATAACTCTTATGTCTATAATGCTTTTTTTTCCTTTAAGGAATTTAAAGCATTTCAAACACATCATCACATTTCTCCTCACAGTATCCCTGTGGAGAAAGTAAGGATAGTTATTATCATAGGAAAACCATATTTTCAGTAAGAGCAGTAAACCAGATAAATTAGAAAATTTCCCAGAGAAGATTTCAGGTTCTGTAGCATGCCGTGGCATTAACCCCAATGTGGGTATCTCCTACAGAGATCAGGGTGAAACAAAAATGCCTTTTTTTTTTTTTAAAGTAAGCACAACAAAACACTCTAAAGGGAACCAATCATTAGTATAGTTGAGCATCAGGAATTAAGGTAGGTTGATAGTCACTAAAAATGTGTGCACAGAATCAAATAACAATAAATATCTAAGACTATGAGAAAACCCAAGTCTCAGTCCTCTATAACTTACTCCTTTTTTTTTAACTTTTTGGTTCAGTGTAGCCTTATGGAAACACACACATAGCCATATTGCATTGAGGGGAGACTCAGTTATTGGTCTCAGTTCATAGACTTGAGATTTAAAGAAATTGGGTGCCTCAACATTTCTTGAAATCAGAGGCAGCATTTGGACTTTTACCTGTGGATACCAGCCAGCAGCTGCACCAGTAAGGATTAGTTCATCATGTAAGGGCCAGGGTTGGTGGGAGGAGAAGGGGGAGAAAAAAGAAAAAAGTTAATCCAGTCATGGGATTTGTTAAAGAAACAGGAGAGCTGAGTGGACGATCAGTAAGATGCAAAGAAATAGATTAACTAGGTATATTTCAGGCAATGTTAAAATACTCTAATTCCTAAGTAGATGGTCCTCACTAAATTTCTAACCAAAATGTGAAAAATGTACATACACAGGTAGAAAATGCATTAAAATTTTTCACAATAATGTATTGTGTTTTTGGATTTTTATAATCCAGATAGTTATGATATGTTTCATCATATTTTCCCCAAAGTATAGAAAACTGAAGTTGGTCAATTTAAGTTACTTTGGTTACTTTGTGGGAGGAAAAAGTCATATTTTTTTGGGGGGGGTCTATAAAAATATGTACTCAGTGTCTCAGAAAGAGAATCATAAAGACAAAATAAAGAAGGAAGTTAAAATCACACTCAATCTAAATGCCTCAAGATGTCAACGTTAATGTTTTGGAGAACATCATTACAAACACTTTTTACATGTTTGTCCACAGATAGATAGATAGATACATATTTACACAAATACTTAACATATGCACACATCTTATAAATTCTGAGTTTGCAACTTTTTTTTACATCAACAGTATGTTGTGGATTTCTTAACATGATAATAAGTATAGACACTCACATCATGATTTTTAATAGCTCTGTAGTAGGCATGTTGTGTTCTATAACTTTTGTTTTGTTTTAAAATTTAAGACATTTTGCTAAATTTCCTTCTGGAAAGATCAGACCGTACTAATTTACATACCCGGCAACAAGGCATGCTACTTATTTATGAATCTTGGGTATTGTGATTTGAGCATCCTGCATTTTAAAAAATCTTGACTTTAACACAACTCTTTTGCTGTGTTTGAAACCCTGGAATATTAAATGTGCAGTCTGTTTAAAGTTAGCCTAAATGCAAATGTTGGTTCATCATTTAAAACCTAAATGCTCACTTCCATCACATGCAAAGAATTTTGTCTTTTAAGCAATTTAGGAAGGTCACTGATTTGTTTCTGTTTAAGGTTTGCGTAAACTGGGGTTGTCCATAAAGTTGAAATACTGTGTGAAGTATTTGGTAGTTATCAGATGTTAAGCAGGATGAAGATGATCCTGTACATTGAAGTCACAGAGGGAGTGTCTCACCACTTCACACTGTGATCTAATAATCTGAAGTGTCAGAATTATAAATACCAGGATTCTAAACATTCTACTTTGTTATTTATCCTTTAGGTCAAGTCCCCAGACTCTGTTTTGGAAGTTTGGCTATATATTAACTGTTCTTTCAGTTATTTTAAAGAACTTTTCTGAAGCTATTTTAGTGTAATAAAATGCTTGAATAAGAAGGTGATTTTCACTGGTGCCTTAAAGTTGGTTATCACTTATTTTCCAATTTAAGAACTAAAAATAGAGTAATTTCTTAACATTATTGACTATAGTTATGAAGGAGTTTCCCTCTTTCTACCACAATTCCTTGAAAGTAGGGTATCCTATTTTCCCATAGGAATAATAATAAAATTGGGAATTGTGGTCCTGACCAAGAGTCAGCATCAAATAAATTAGGCCTGTACATTAAAAGCAAAGATAAAATAACTTAAGTTACAAAGTATTTTTAAAATATACTAGATGTGAATCTATGTTTAAAATAATAGATCTATAGATAATAGACCTCTAAATTTAAAATAATAATCATAAACCTCTAAAGTAATTTGCCATAATAACACGTAAGGACGTGTGTGTGTCAAACACATGCGGGGTGTGTGTGTGTATTTGAAGACTTGTTGCACAGGATCTCTGTAATCATTCTTTTCAGGACTGTTTAAGCTGATGTCCTATTTTGACTCAAACCTGTTGCAAGCAGAAACAAAGCTGTGCATAGTTCCATTGATTATTACTTCCAGAGTAGCCACCATCAAATTTATTTCAAGTCACAATGGAATTTAATTAAGTTTTGAACGAGTTCTTACTTTCTATCCTTTTTCCTTTGCTGTCTCCCTCTCAGTGCCAAGGCCATTACTGAAAGGGCAAAGAAATTTGTTTTTTTTAATTGTAAAATGTTTATTTTTAATTTGATAAATTCTGCCAAATTGTCTTTGGAAAATGTCTTACCAATTTACACACCCATTAACAAAATATAAAGGGATTTATCTTTCTGTCCTCTTAAAAGCATTTTTTAAAAGATACCCTTCAAGAAATCAAGGGGAGATGAGAACACAGGCAGTTTTACTGCTTTGCCATGGTTATTTTGGAGGTGGGGTTGGGGAGGGCATATCCAAGAGCTATGTGTATGTGATTCACTTGCAGAAGTTTTAAAATATTAACTCATGAAATGAGCCCCCTTCCTCCCCACCACCAGGTGCTGACAGTCACGACCCAGGCAAGGCTCTGCTATAATGATAAGTGCGTTGGAAATTATACTGCCTGTAATTTTTACAGTGGGAAGTATCATTAATGACTGGCGGTAATGTGTGTGTTTTCTCAGGCTAGTGGAGAAAGGGTGAATTTAACAATTGGTAGACCAGGGAAACCCCAGCCTGGTAACACTATCCGAGAAGCAGGAACTCAGAGCAGCAGCCAGCAGCAAGCGCAGCCGCTGTATTACAGCAGACCCAGCTCACATAAGGTGAGGTGTTTTGTTTGTGCGTTTTAATTTATCCACCCTCAAAGGATCACTGTTACAAGCCGGTAAAATTTAAATGAAGGCTGTTATTCTGTTGGAGAAGGTGAACATGGGTGTTGAGGATGTGAAATGTGCATGTTTTGCTGCCTTGGAGAGGGACCCTGTTGTCTCAGTTCCTCAGACAGCGGGCACGGTTTCTTAGTGAAGAAGGTCTCTCTGCCAGGTGACTAATGGGAAGTGTTTGATCTTCCAGAAAAAAGTTTCTGTTTGTTTAGCCCTGCTTGAAAGTCTCATTTGATTCTTTGCTTGAATCAACTTCTGGTTGGCCAGGATATTTTCAACAATGACATTCACCCAACTATGTGAAAATATAAGCTAAACGTGAGCTTTCAAAGTCACTTTCCTTAAGTAAAATTAAATTGCTTTACCAAACAAAAACTTATTCATTGGTCTGCTTCAAAACCATAGAAGTTTCCTATGCACTAAAATGGCTTCTTATGTAAGTACAGTATTTGAGAAAGTAATTACCTTTGGAATGTCACTGGTACATAAGAAAGCATTGCTTGAAGACATGAGTATTTTTGTCCCATCAGGTTTATCTGGTTTTCTGAGCTTAAGTCCAGACTTGTCACTGGTCTTTGGTTTAGTTAATACTTATATAAAATTATAACCACATACTTTGTTCTCATTTCTGAACAAAAAACCAAAATAGATGAGGGAAACCTATAATTTTGCCTTTATAATGATGGCTGTGTAAAAGGGTTTAGTGTTTTGAACAGGAATTTTTAATAGGAATTGTTTCAGATAGCTTGTCCTTGTTTAAAGAATTGTAGCGTAAGCCAAAAGTTGACTATTGAATCTTTTATGTCATTGAATCCTATAATGATTTGAGATGTGGGTATCTGACAACATTATAAATTTAAGACATAAGACAATTTTTAAAACTGTATTTAATTATTTGCACGTTCATCTAGATAACTCTGCTTACTTCATTTCGTTTGTTTAGGGCACATATATTTTTCTCTTTTAACTCTGCTAATTCTCTTTAATTTTATGGGACAATGTTTTACATAGCAGAGCACTGTAAATAAATTCAGCAGAATTTATTCTTATTCTAGGTACTCTGCAAACCTTGTTAGTTGGAACAACCACATGAAATGTACTTTTAAGTGTTAATTTAGCTGTTTACTCTTGCATTTGTTATATCAAATCTGATTTAGAATAATAAAGGTCTCTAGGGAAAGCCAGTACACAAATTCACCAAAACAACCTGTTCAGGTGGTTATGATTGTTAAAAATTAAAATATATATATTAGTCTACTGCTAAGCTTCTAAGTAGCTGCTTAGATAAACATTCATATGGTGTTAAACCCTGAGAAGCTTCCTTGAAGCTTACCCAGTATAATCACTGAAGTTAGGTTTGTTTCCTGAGGAAAAAAATGCATACATCTCAGCCAGCAGAAGAATAAAATCCCTGCCCTTCAAGGATGAAATACCTGAGAGCTGAGACGCTGAAGAAAATATACTCAAGGTTGAGTTTGCATGACTTGTCTTCATAACAAAATGGTTTTGCTCCATTTTGAAGGATACTAACATAGATTTCATACCTTTAGATAGGAGACTACCTTAAGACATTTACAAGTTTTCGACTAGGTCATAACATTTGCTAGAAATGCTTTGCTGTTATTATAGATAGTTCCCTTGATAAAATTTCAGGCGTACAGGGATTCCAGGACCAGGGAAGGGCACATGGCTTGGAATTCCAGGACCTGGTTAACAGATATGTCCATGTCAACTCTTTGAATTTATGCCACTAAAGGAAATGTTATAATTCTGTAAATATAATTCACATATTTCCATTGTTGATATTGTTAGTAACATTAATATAATTATCTTGTACTACTCTGTCTACTTTTCTTTTGAAGAATTAGGGGAGAAAGATGGAAGAAAATGTAATTGGCTCACATTCAGACTCTTAAAAACTCAAATGCATTATTTACGTTTATAGAATTGATCATATCTTGGCTTTTAAGGTAACTGTACGATTGATGTGCATATTTAACTTTAACCTCGCATGTCAACAGTCCCGAATTGTTTCAGTTCCATAAGCCACATGAAAATACGGTAGTCCAAAGTTTGACATTGATTCCATAGTGATCAGTGTAGTGTTTGTACATATGATGAGCTGTGTATTACTTTCAGTTCTATAGTAAGTGATTAGAAAAATGACTTACAGTTGCTGCATAAGCTTTTACATTAGTTTAAGTTGTATATTATTCATTCCAATAAATATATTCAATAAATTTTTCCTCTCATGATTTAGGATCTTACCCAGTGTGTTACATGCCAAGAAAAGCACATTACTGTAAAGAAGGAACCCCACGAATCCCTTGGAATGACCGTGGCTGGGGGCAGAGGAAGTAAGAGTGGTGAACTGCCCATCTTTGTGACCAGTGTGCCGCCTCATGGCTGCCTCGCGCGCGATGGCAGAATCAAGAGAGGTAAGATAGGCTCTTCAACAATTTCACCACATCTTCTCCCTGAATTCAACTTTGTACGTAAGAAATATGTTCAGAGTTGTCTTTTAAACTTTTTGCATTCTGAAATGTCCCTTGCATATGTAAGCATAAAGCCTCTTTATAAGGTTAGAAAAATGCCTACTGTAAAGGGAAATTGCATTTTCTAACAGTTATTTAGACTGTTGGACTATTTTATGTTGAAAAAGGCTCTCTAAGAAGTTTTTGTTTCCCACATTATGGCAAGGTAGATTCTCTGAAGGACCATCTCCAAAATACAAATGTTGCTTAAACTAAAGTGGGAGGGGCTCACAGAAGAGGTGGAGCAGAACACAAAGTTTAAAAGATAGTGGGTTTAGGGATTAGCACATTTAGAAGTTCACGTTCTGCATCAACACTGTATAATTTGTATACGTGGGGGTGGAAATGGTAAAACAGCATTCTTCATACACTTGGTTTGTTCATATAGAAAAGTGAGTCTTAAAAGCTATTTTTCCAAGAGTGAAGTTAGATTCCTACCTCAAACCACATACCAGAATTAACTTATTATGGATCCAATACCTAAGTATAAGATCTACAACGTTCAGAGGAAAACCAGTGTAAATATTCATGACCTTGGATTAGGCAAGGGTTTTCTTAGATCCGACACCAAAAACACAAGCAACAACGATGAAATGGATAAACTGGACTTCATCAAAATTACAGATTTGATGAAGGACACACACCACCAAGAAAGTAAGAAGATAACCCACAGAATAGGAGAAAATATTTGTAAATCATATATCTGATGAAAGACTTATACCTAGAGTACATAAAGAACTCTTACTACTCAATAAGTAAAAAGATAAATGACCCAATTGAAAAATGGGCAAAGGATATGAATAGACATTCTTCCAAAGGAGATATACAGATGGCCAATAATCCCAGGAAAAGATGTTCAGTGTCCTTGGTTATTAGAGAAACGCGAATCAAAACCACTTCACACTCACTAGGATGAATATAATAATAAAGACAGGCAATAACAAACATTGGCAAGGATGTAGAGAAATTGGAACCTTCATACATTGCCAGCAGGAATGTAAAATGGTACAACTGTTTTGGAAAACAGTTTAGCAGTTCCTCAAAAAAGCTAAACATAGTGTTACCATATGATCTAACAATTCTGTTCCTGAAGAAATGGAAACATGTGGCCACACAAAAACTTGTACATGAAGCTTCATAGCAGTATTTTTCATAATAACCAGAAAGTGGAAACAACCCAAATATCTGTCAGCTAATGAATGGATTAACATAATGTGGTATATCCATACAATGGAAAATTATTTGGCTCTAAAAAGGAATGAAATATTGACACAAGCTACAATATAGGTGAACCTTGAAAACATTATGACTATGGAAAGAAGACAGTCACAAAAGACCAAGTGTGGTACCATTTACATGATATGCCCAGATGGGCAGATCTATAGTAATAGAAAGTATATTAATGATTACTTAGGGCTGGAGGAAGAAAAATGACTGCTAATGGGTACATGTTTTTTGGGGATTGATCTTAAAATGATGGGTGATGATTGTATAACTTTGTGACTATACTGAAAATCATAAAATTGTAACTTTGAATGAATGAATTGAATGTTACATGAATATCTTAATAAGGCTGCTACTTTTAAAGTTACTTGTCCAATTATAGAATTGGGGGTAATTTTATTTCCTTACTATTTATAATGTTTTCTAAATTTTCTACAATGAAAATGGTTTGCTTTAACAATCTGAATAATAAATGATGATTTGGAAGAGGAGGTTTTTCTGTAGGCTTTCATGGTACAAATGTCTATGCTTCCTACAGAAGTAAACCTTTCCTTCTAACCTTTTATTTAATCCTCATCGCCCTTTTTATTATATTACGTGACAGAGGAACAAATACTTTTTTCTCCCTCAAGGAAGAGGAGATGTCCAAATCACATTTCATTTCTTTGTGTACGCCCAAGAATATCCTCTCTGCATATTCTGGTATGTTTGCACTGAGTGAACTATGTAGGGCTGTCTTTATGTATAAAACTGTGTAAACACAAAATAGAATATAAGAATTCATTTCCAAGTGCAATGTGTCAAATAATTTTTGAAATGGAAAGAACAGTAGAAATCATTGAAGCTCGAAGAAGAGAACTGAATGTACCAGGGCCCGTACCCAGCTAAACCTATGACATGCCAGGACCAAGGATTTCAACTTCCAGTGGAATCATGGTGTTTCAAGCCACTCTTTTACATATATAATATATGAACTTATTTTAAATTTTTGAATTGTTTTGGGTTGTTTTTCATAAATTGAGTTTTTTCTCAGTATTATAAAAGTTATAAAAAAGTAAAAATGATCTTTTACCTTACCTCACCTGAGTCATTAAAACTAACTTTTGTCTATTAGTTTACCAGTAAAAAAATTTACAGGGAAATAATCACTTGGTAGCTCGGCTCATTTTTTTTTTTTGGTCTCGTTATTTGAACAGGTGATGTATTGTTGAATATCAATGGCATTGATTTGACCAATTTAAGTCACAGTGAGGCTGTTGCTATGCTAAAAGCCAGTGCTGCATCCCCCGCTGTTGCCCTTAAAGCCCTTGAGGTCCAGGTTGTTGAGGAGGCTGCCCAGGCCACGGATGAGCAGCCAAGCGCTTTCAGTGACAACGAGTATGATGCCAGTTGGTCCCCATCGTGGATCATGTGGCTTGGGCTTCCCAGGTACTAACAGTTTCTTTGTTGTTTTATGAAATAATAATAATTATAACCTTTATTAGTGTGTAACCCTGTAAATTCACTCACTGATGGAAAAAAGGCTTTGGTTAGATAAAAGTAGCAGCATCAAATCAAGTTACAGAAGAAATGGTAATTTTTCTAGGTTATTATATTTAAACGGTAAATTTAATAATAAGAACTAAGCTAAAAATATATATCTGTTTATAAAAATGAATAAAGCCATCTGTCCATTTCTGTTAAGGTTCATAAGTGGGCAAGCCATGCAAGGGGGCATTCAGGCCCTTGCTCAGGAAAGCTGTCATTGTCACTGTTCATCCTGATACATGCTTAGCCTTCATGTGCATGGGGTCAAAGTACAGGGCCTTGTCCTATCCCAGAAGGCTTTCTAAAAGCCCTTTGTTCTTAATGCTTTTAACTCTCCTAAAATGGCTGGGTATAAAAGTCAGTTTTTATTGGACATAAGTCTTAAGCCAAAGGATTGGTGTTCAAGAATAGGTTCTCCTATCGTATATCCATTCATGACTGACCAGCCAAGGCATTCTGAATTTGGTCAGCGTCTGGTCATACAAACACTTGGAACCTCCAGGTGATTGTTGCATAATTTGATATTGAGGTAGGAAGAATGTGTTATTATCTTTGTTTCCAAATCAGCTTAGATTCTTAACATATAAGAGAATCCTAAAACTGAACTATGATGAAACATTTTGACTCTTAACAAAGTTACTCATTGAAAATAAAAATAAATGATAAGAATGTGCCAATTTCTGGGCTATCTAGCTTCATTTGGTATAAATTTGTAATAACTAGAATTTCAGTAGTGCTCTATGGTTTATAAAGTACTTTTGCAGAAAGAACAACAAAGAAGCAAGGATATTATTGGATTATCAGGTTATTTATTTATACTCTAATTTGCTGACTGGTCTTGGTTAAAAAAACAACAATAAAGAGACCTAAAATTGTAGTAGAATTCATGTCTCAGGAACCTGTAGGGACCTTGTATATGGACCTTGTGGAGAGAGATTTTTTTATGACAAAGATGATTTAGCTACTTCCTATCTGTTTATTCTGTGCATCAAAATTGAAATAGGAAATTTTTGTTACTATTTTCCAGATTGAGTTCCCTATTTTGTCTATTAGAGTCTCTCTTAAAATGAAAGCACTTTAAGTGAAGGGGGAAAAAACTAATTTTAACTCCTTATGGAGATTAAAAAGAGGGATAGTGATGTTACATTTTGGGGGAATCTGCTCTACTGTTCATTTTCTTTCATCTGAGTGCTGAAGTCAGCAGTATTAGACCTATCATACCACTTTTTGTTGTTGTTTTGTTTTTGTTAATCCTCACTTGAGGATATTTTTTCCATTGGTTTTTTAGAGAGAGTGGAAGGGAGGGTGTGAGGGGAAGAGAAAGGAGACAGAGAGAGAGAGAGGGAGAAACATCAATTGGTTACCTCCCAAACTCTCCCCTACCTGGGCTGAGGATCGAACCTGCAACCCAAGTACATGCGCTGGACCAGGAATTGAACCTGTGACCCTTTGGTCCACGGACCAATGCTCTAACCATTGAGCCACACCAGCCAGGGCATTCCACCTTTTAGAAGATGAAAATTTTAAAGGTACAATTTTGAAGATACCAATGGATATCAGAATGGAGGACCTGTTGGAAGTTCAGTGAGTACCCTAGCCGATTTTGCTCAATGGTTAGAGCGTCGGCCCACAGACTGAAGGGTCCTGGTTCAATTCCCCCCGAGGACACATACCTCGGTTGCAGGCTCCATCCCCGGCCCTGGTCAGGGTGGGTGCAGGAGGCAACCAATCAATGTGTCTCTCTCATGTCGATGTTTCTCTCCCTTTCTCCCCCTCTCCTTGTCCCAATCTCTCTGAAAAGCAATGGAAAAAAGATCCTCGAGTGAGGATTTAAAAAAAGAAAGAAAGTGCAATGAGCAAATATTAGGCTCAGAACCATTTTATACAAATTTCTGAGGTGTAACTTATACCCAAGTTTATTTAAACTGGTGTGTGTGTGTGTGTGTGTGTGTGTGTCTTACTCACTTAGGAAAAGAAGACTGAAAAAAGTGAAAAGAAATCCAAACCTGTCTAGGACTACATCTGTGCTCGAAATGGGTGGTCAAAATAATACATTCAGAAGAAAATAAAGTAGCCCTTTTTCTTCTCCCAGTGGTGGAAAGCACAACATGGTGTGCAGTTATGACAAAGATGAACAGGCTGTAATCATCTCCATTGTTTCCTGATATTTGTGTTTGTTTATAGTTCCCTTCACAGCTGCCATGATATAGTTTTACGAAGAAGCTACTTGGGAAGTTGGGGCTTTAGTATTGTTGGTGGATATGAAGAGAACCACACCAATCAGCCTTTCTTCATTAAAACCATTGTCTTGGGAACTCCTGCTTATTATGATGGAAGATTAAAGTGAGTTTTGTTATTTATTGATGTGATCCATGTTTGTTGTGATGGACACAATCTAGACCAGAAGCCAGCTCCAAATGTAGCTTGTAAATAAAGTTTTATAGGAACATGGCCACTCTCACTTGTTTACATGTTGTCTGTCACTGCTTCTGAGCTACTGAAGCAGAGCTGAGTCATTGTGACAGAGACCAAAGCCTAAAATATTTATTCACCATCTGGCCCTTTATAGAAAAACATTGCCAACCCTGATCTAGACGAAACATTACCTTTACCGTTTTGCCATTCATAGTTCTATTTTGCTAATCTGATGACAGGACTGAACCAGAGTCATTGCACTGCACATACTGTGATGTGACTAGCTTGGAGCAGTTCTGCCACGCAGCCCACTCAGGTCCAGTCCTGTCATTAGATGCCTCTGCTTTATTTTTCTCCACAGCACTTATGTCTACCTATCAATATATTTATGCAAGCTCCATGCAAGGAGAAGGCAGTTTTGTTACATTTGTTGTTAACATCCCTGGCAGCCAGAGCAGTGCCTTGCGTATGTAGTAAAGTCTCAGTAATTTTTTTTAAAATTGATTTCAGAGAGAGGAAGGGAGAGGGAGAGAGAGATAGGAACATCTATGAGAGAGTCATTGATTGGCTGCCTCCTGCACGCCCCCTGCTTGGGATCAAGCCTGCAACCCGGGCATGTACTCTAACCAGGAATTGAACCGTGATCTCTCCTGGATCAGAGGCTGAGCCACGCCAGCTAGGCAGTCCCAGTAAATATTTGATGAACAAGTGTGTGATATTTGACTGTCCCAGGCACAGTGCCAGGTGCTTGTGATTGATTGTATTGATTTTATTATTGATTGATTGATTGTATTATTGAATCCTCTTAACCCTAAGAGAGGGTGACCGAGGGGTATTCTTCATTGGCCATGGAAAACCAACATAGGCTTAAAAAATCACCCCAGATGTTTCTCACAGTAGGTAATACACCCTAATCATTGACTGTTAATGGTTAAGTGAAACTGATTTTCATGCTAAACAAATCTCAAGGTTTCTCTCTCTCCCTTCCTCTCTCAAACCAATAAAATATATAGTTTTTAAAAAGATAATGGTTTTAATACCATGAAAATCATGACAGTCTGTTTCTGTTTCTGTCTGTCTTTGTCCAGATGTGGAGATATGATCGTGGCGGTGAACGGTCTGTCAACTGTGGGCATGAGCCATTCTGCATTAGTTCCCATGCTGAAGGAGCAGAGGAACAAAGTCACCCTGACGGTTATTTGCTGGCCTGGCAGCCTGGTGTAGATTTTGAAATTGGTTTTGAGTCAAACATCTTTCTTTTTTAGGTTTTGGAAAGAAAACCCTTTTGCTTTATTGTATTTCTGGCTGTTAGGAACTACTGACACAGCTGGTAAATGCAGGGCCCCAAACCACTAAGATTGTCCTTTTGCTGTTATTTACATGGTTTTCCTCAAGTTAGCCACTTTTTTTTCCTCTTGGAAACAGTCTTCCACTAACCCTGTGAGTTCGTATTTTCAGAACGAGACCTATAATAATGAATGAAGTCTCCCCAAACTGTGACCCAGCCAGCTAGGTTCAAGGACTTGTGGTGGCTCTGTGCTTTTATTGACTGAATCCGATGATGAGTTACACATGCCCAAGGCTGGTATCAGTGACGACAGGAGCAATAGCACTTGCTATCGCTGTTGCTACCAACCAACGCCATGGATGGCTGGATTTTAAATTTGGATAGTAACCGTTCCCATTTCCCATAGGTGCCAACATTTCAAAACTTCATAATGTTTATAAGGTGATCTTTCTGGCTTATTTTTTCTTTAATCATTCAGTGATCATAGATGATGAAGATACAAGTTTGACACCACAAAAGAGATTTATTAAAAAAAACAAAAAACAACAACAAAAACACACCTTTATTAGAATAGTAGAGAGTAAAAGATAACATTATCCAGTGACACAGGAATATGAGAGGTAATTATAGTTTAGTGCTGGAGATGGTAAAAGCTGCATCTTTTTGAACAGTCCAAAAGCGTTAAAGATTCATTTCCAAAGGAATGTTTTACACGGGAAATTTTTGAAGCAGTTTTTGCTAAAAATTATTTTCTAGAGTTTATATTATCCTTCTGTCAGCACACTTGGCTGGAAACATTTTTGTGATTTATGCAATTAGATGACAAAGATAAAACCATTCAATACACACATACCCATCACAGCAAAGTAGGAGAAGCTAGACCTTTTTTATTTTATTCTGGTAAAATTCTTGAGTGTTTTAGAAACCCTTATTTTTTCCCCATTATTCCTTTACTTAGGAACTTAATTATTTTTTTAAAAAGTGAAAAGTTCTGTCTTAGTTTTTTTATCTGAAATAGTAGGTTTTAGATGTGAATATCTTTCAATCAGTTTTTGGTCACTAGACTATTTCATATTTTTTGAGATTTCTTGAAAGCTCTGACCGGCCTGTTATGTTTGTCCTTTACTCAATATGGTTGTCGTTTGGAAGAGCACATCAAGGAGTGAAAAGAGAAAATATCCTTACCTTATTAATATTATGCATACTTGAAAAAAGTTCACTAGAAACCTAGCTCAGATTATGAGCTAATTTACAAGTGACCTCTGTAATAAATGGTATTGATCAGAGAATGTATTTCAAAATACTACAGTGTATTATGAAGCATGACCACTTTGTTTTCAAACTTAGCAATTGCATTGCTGGGATTCATTGTATTCTAGCATGTCACTGATTATTCCAGTTAGTTTTATAATGATTTTTTAAAATATATCTCTTTTGAATAAATAAGAAATGGAATAATTGTTACTAACTTGTTCAACCCTGTAGCCACACTGTAGGCACAGATAACCAAGATACAGTGGAATGCCCCATGCAGTATATTACTGTTACGACATGATTGGCTTTGGAAGCAGTTTGATATTGAAATGCTTTGATATTCTAATTGACATCGAACAAGTTTTATTCCTGCTCCCCAAGAAGAATTTTGTAACCCACTTTGCTATTTTTTTAAACATTTTGTAAGAAAAAGTCATTTCTTGGGGAGTGGCCATCCATCAACAAATATCTTGCTACTTTGTTATATATAAAATAGTTTCATTGAACCCAGTGGTATAATGAGTATTCTGAAAGAAGAAATGTTTTTCAATATTATTTTTATCATGGAAATGTTGAAATCAGCTTAAGCTAATTTGGTTTTATTACAAAAGACTATAGCTTTTGGTCAGAATGGTATTTGGTGATGGAAACTTGTTCACAATTTGTTGTTACTGTTGAAATATTTGAATTTTGTCATTTGAAGCTTAAATAGTTAAATATTTTGATTTGTTCTGTGCCTTCAGTTTAAATTATTTCAGGATTTTTCAGATATGTTTAAATAATTCTTGATGGAAATAAAAATCATCATTTCCGTAATAGTGACATTGTATCTTTTCTGGAACAGCAGATGCTAACTCTGTGTGATCCTTATTTTCGTTTGAGCACCACTGTCGTCATTACAGTATCCCAAGCTTGAACCTCAGGATCACCAATCCATCTTCCAGTTCTCATTCCTGTAGGTAGAATACATATGATCCCTACTGACTCTTGGAAGTCTTGCCTGTGCACTACCTCTAGATGTGTGGCTACTGAGTACCTGAAATGCAACCAGTGCCACATGTTGAAATGATAATACCTTGGATGTATTGGATTATATAAAATATATTATTAATATTAATCACTCATTTATTTTTGCATTTAAAAAAAAATGTGGTTACCAGAAAATTTTGAATTACATGTGTAGCTCACCTTGTATTTCTATTGGATGGCATCTGTGGTCTCCTCGCCTTTTCATTGTCACAGCACTTACCAGGCCAGGCTGTCCTGATGTGCTTTCTATTCTGGAGCTTTGATCATTCCCTGTATTTAAAAAATTTTTTTAATTAAAAGAGAAAGTTGTTCTCTGGGTTTCTAGCAAATTAAGTTTAAGCCAAGGCCACTGTGCCTGACCCCTAACCTGGTTTTTCAGACAGCTCTGCAGTCCCGTTGACCCCTCGGTACTCCAGCAGGCTCCTCCACCCTCAGTGCCACCCTCATACACGCTCCTGCAGAGGTCCCTCTACTGCTTCCGTGCAGTGCTCTCCTTTCTGCATCTCGCAGGGCCCTGTATTTGGAGGCGTAGCTTGAACACAGCCCCAGCTTCCTCTTACCTCTACTTCCACTTTCAAGAGAATTATCCTCCTTGTGATGAAACCTCAGCCAGCCTTCATATTTGTATGTATTATGGCTCTGACCACTTTCTACCTAATGTCTGTCACAGTTTTAAGGACCGCCTTTGATAGCCACCTTGTAATTTTGAATACCGTTGATGCCCTAAGTCTAGCTCCCACAGTCCGTAGTCTGAATATTCTATTGCTTTAAGGTATGCTGTTTCAGTCCCCCAAACTAAAATGGTCTTCCTCCCTCCCCC